GATGAATATTTTTGATATGTGTGTAAAACTTGGGCAATATGGTAGAGTATAACTACATTATGGATACGACTTTATTTTGATAAATCACACAGTGTTGTACAGCAATATTATCTGATGACGTTTCGAGCACAAATTATTGCTCATAATCGTATCAAGTCAGTCACACAACTTTTTGCCTCATTCATACACATGAGTATTTTAGTTAAGCGTACTACAGGGATAAAAGGTCACTCATCTCATTCACTTCTATTCACACTAATTCTTATGTCCGTGTTACTGACTTTTGGTTTATGTTTTCCTCTTCGGTGCACTTTATCTGGACAATTTAAGGAATTAGGAAGTGCATAGAGTACTTAGGAAACGGTATGAATAATTGTTTAAGCTAATTAACACTAGGTAGTTGTGACACTACGCATCTGCAGTGACAAAGCTGACTGACTGAGTTTTAACATGGAAATGAGCACAGAAGTGTAGCAGTCCAATTTGTGACGTTCCACACTTGAAAATATTATATTTAGTTGGTAATAAGCAAAACATATTTCATCAGATGTGTTTCGACTTCGCATTTGGGCTAAGCGATAAAATTAACTAACTCATGAGATATAACGAGAAAGAGTGTGAGAGTTATCTCGGGTAAGAGGAGAAATTATTGTAAGATCACTTTTTTTCAGTTAGACAAGAACTAAATGGGAAAATACGATTACCATTTGTTGACATTTTGCCTATTTTTATCCACGTTTTAGCATTTCACTATATCTGGACTATAGAACATTCTGACAGACTGACTTTCAACATAGAAGCTTGCACACAAGTGCACCCGCTTAAGTTAGCACATTCCATGTAGCACACAAAGGTAGAAGAAAAAAGAAATTAAATGTCACTATAATGAGCATAAATGTGATGAAAAACAAACTGTCATATGGAAAAAATATAAGGGTTGCTCAGATATGTGAGATTACACACAGTGAATGCATCTGTGTCATTAACAACGTTTGGAATCACATTTCTACTTAACACTAAACTTAACCCCAATATTACTCACCATATTAGACTACTTAACACAGAAGAAAGGGTACAGACACTACGATCAAAAACCAGTAGTCTTTTCATATCTTCCAGTTTCAATGGTCACTTATCGCAGCCTAAGTGGGCAATACCATCAGCATACACTAAGTTGACAAGACTGTTCTCTGGTAAGTCCCTAAAGTGAGTGATAGATAATTCGGTTAATACATTTAGGATGAACGTGAACTAAAATAAGGACTACAGTTGTAGAAATGAGCCTTGTATTATACCCTTCTTGGAAATATCAGTTCCCTCATAGTTTAGTTTCAGTATTAAGTGAATGGAATGCAGTCTACAGATTCATGAAATTCACATACTGACGCGCTACTTTCCTAGAATCCTAGTTGATGTCTCCTCAAGAAAGTGGGAGATGAGCATTGCACTTCTGTAAACTCAGTAGGCTGTGAACTGCTGCCAATGAAATCGACAGCAATTTTTGGTATTACGTAATTCCGAAACCGATCATATAATCTTTGACACTGACTTCTGGTTCGATCAGATGAAGTTAAAGGCAAGAGCTGAGAATATAGGAGATGTTGAGGGTTAGATAGTATAGTTTTAGACCATTTATCGCATGAGTTTAGATGTCTTTCAACTAATCCATTAACGAGTTGACTAAATGGTACGCCACTTGCCCTAATGACAGCCTTAATACCCTGCACAATACGACATAGCCGTTTTTGAGTAATTCAGGAAAGAATAAGGGGGAGCAGTAAAGACCGATGCAAGAGTTAACAAATTGTAAAAGGAGGTTGAATGATTCCTGACTGTCTTGACCACATAACGTGGTAAGCTAGACTGAAGGTTTTCTTAGAAATCGACAAGATATAGAATGACCAAGAAAGACCAGAGGATAGAACTACTTCAAGGTATTTTATGTTAGACTTAGTTTCTGTTTCAGTGCCCTCTTTGATACGAGCATCTTGTAAACAACACAATTCTTGTAATTCACGCTTATGAGTGAAGGGAAAGTTAACTGCCTGAAATTTAGAGGGATTTAACGTAAGACCATATGCCTTAGACTACAGACAGGAAGCAGTTAGGTTTGCTGCAGTCACATTGTAACATGACAGGAAGTGAGACGGTCAGATCACCAGCGTATTTGACGAAGTTGCTCTCATTAGAAGGAGAAAAGTCATGTAAGACGAGGGAGAAAAAAGAAGAGGAGAGATAACAATACCCTGAGGAACACCAGCTTCAGCAAACGAGGCGGAATATTTACCCTAATATACAGTATGCTGCATTCCATTTGAGAAATGATAATGCAACCAGTCAACTCCTCAGGACCCGTGTTTTCACGACCGAAAACTTATTCAACTAAAGTCATCTATGTCCTGAGTCGACAACAACGGCATATGCTGACTGAAAGCTTAGCACAAAAGTGACAAAGCACAAAAACTTGCAAAGTAGGAGACGAGTCCCGGGTGAAAGAAGAGATTACTGAAAGGTATCTATTTTTCATTTGGCAAAGAACAAGATTAAGAACTACACCTATCATTTGTTGAAATTTTGGAGATCATTTATCAATGTTTCGCATTTAGTTATGCCTAGACTGTGTCATTCTGACTAGCTTTCAGTATGAGTTTGCAGAGAAGTCCACCTGTTTAATTTACCACATTCCATGTAGAACACGTAGGTAGAGACATAAAACTAAATGCAAGTTTAACGAGCGAAAATGTGAGGGAGAATAAATAGTGACAACGAAAAACATGAGTTGAACAGATACGTGAGATTACATAGAGTGAATGCATCTGTGCCAGTAACAAAGATTTGCAGTCATATCTCTAGTAGTTCTTCCAGCTGACCGTCAACGATTTTATGAACCAATACCAGTTTTCCATTTGACTGACCCAAACACATTTTAAACCTTAACATGTGCTGGCCAGCATTGTCCCTGGAGGAAGGCGATGGCTTGATATGCCAGCACGTTCTAGCCATCTCAACCTATTCAGCTTCCCTACCTTGAAGACTAATATACCCTCCCCACCTAAACATTTATGCGTAACCTCAACAGCACTCGCCATATTATACTGCTTTACTCATGAGATAGAACGCAGACACCTGTAATCAAACACCGGTATTATTTTCGTATTCTACAGCATCAGGGGTTACTTCGCATAGTCTAGGTGGACGATATCATCAGCAAACTGTAAGTTGATGAGACTATTCCCTGATAAGTCTCTAAAGTCAGCTATAGACTATCCTACTAATACATGTGTGATTGAATTGAACTGTTATAAGGATGACAGTTTAAGAATTCAGCCTTGTGTTGCATCCCACTCGGAAATGTGTTTTATGGAGTAATTCGCAAACAGTATTCAATGAATAGAAAACATTCTGTAGGCCTAATGAAACTCATAAATTGACGCACTACTTTTGCAGGCAACATAGTGTTTCCTCAATAAAGTGAAAATCGGATATTTCGGCTGCATAAAACGAGTAAGTGATATCCTGGCAATACCAATGACTACAGCAAGTCTAGGAATTATGCACTACAAAATTTACTTTGCTGAATACTGCGGCAGACTTTACATAAACACTTGACAGATATCAAATTTATACGGGAAGTCAGTAAGATTTAGTAAACTAAAAGTACTTTCGGTTTCCATAGCACTTCTCCGTGCCGAATTTATACCTTTAAGGGCCTACAGAGATTAAAACTTCAATTAAATAACACTGACGTGGAAGAAATTCCATTCTTCAGTGCTAAAATTAATGGAAATAATCACGTTTTTTATTCTAAAAACAGGAGTATTCGTAATGTTTTACTTTATGTAAATGAAGTTACATACAGTTGCACTAAGAACTCAGTACAACTCAATGCACGATAGTATATATACAAATAAACTGAAAAATAATGTCCTCCTTGCCTTATGAACAACTTGTTCTTATTCCAGGATTATAACTTTCTTTCATCTATGAGCCTGAGTTATGTCTATGAAATCGCAATATTACATCAGTTAAATCTTCTTCCAAAACCAAGGTCACTTGAAACCAATAGCAACATAGCAACAAGCGTCATTGAGGGGATATGCAATAAAGTCGCTCGTTTCCCTTCTATAGTTCCTATATATTACTTGTTGTGAAGTGGAAGTATGAGCTGCATTGCTACTAAGTGGAAGTGGCAGTGCACACATCACTGTTTTGTGGTCGCTCCCTGGAAACTCAGAACCTACTAGCGTTGAAAGGGGGCTTATATTGTGGCAGAAGATTAAGTCTAGTACGTTATTACCCCTTGTGGGAGTGGTGACAGTTTGTTTCCAGCCAAGTATATCCAGTGTGTCTAAGAAATTATCAAATTTCGTTGGGCCTGTGGGTATATCCCAGTTAATTTCAGGTAAGTTAAAGTCCCCACATAGAATCTTATGATCGTATTGCAAGTCGGATAAGTGCTCCAGAGTATTATTAAGTTGGGTCTCGTAATTACTCAAGATGCCAGGTGCTCTGTAGGTGCATCCAATTAATGCTGTTACGTTATTTAAGTGTACATTAACCCATAGAGTCTCAGGCATGTTAAGTGTACTACTTTCTAGCTGTGATACAGTAAGTGCATTCAGAAAGTACATGAGACAACCCCCTCCCTTACCACCTTCCCTGTCACACCGAAAGTGTGTGTAGTTATCTAAGCTTATTTCTTCATCCAGGATGTTCGAATGACACCAAGGTTCAGTGATGACAATTACAGGGGGTTTGTATATTACTGCGAGTGCTCTGGGCGTCGGCAATTTATTTAGAACAGATCTAGCATTTATGAGGATTAGGTAAAAATGAGAGTTGAAATAGCGTTTGAGGTATTTAAGTTCGTTAGTCAGCCCCGAATGTGGTTCAGCACCCAGTAGTTCTGCTTGGCATGACGATCCTATGCTAAGAGGGGTTTCAGCATCATGCTCACCTATGTCTATCGAGTTGGTGTGTGCTGTTTTCGGTGAAGAATTAGGAGTTGGAGTACTGGATTTGCTATGGACTAAGGAATTTTTATTTTTAGTTAGGCTAAAGAAGTGGGAAGGGTTCTTTATTTGACCTATACTTGTGCAAGTGTCAAGTGCGCTTAATGGATACGGGTGCACTAGACCGTTCCTGTTTTCATGCAAGGAGGGAGCCAGCATTAGGGGTTTAGGAGTGTTAACATCCCTACCAGCTGTTTTTTCAACGCTGACAGGGACGCAGGGGATAAAAAATGATTGGATCCTTGTGATGACCATGGCTCATTATTCCACCTATTGTTTGATGCTAGTTGTGTCCTTGTGTGGGTTTCGTGTGTACTGCATTGTGGTTTAGTTCCCAGCAGACTTGTACCATATATCCGGTCAAAATTTGTTTATGTGCCACACTCTGAAGACCCTGAGTTGTTGGTAGCCGAGCTCTGACTATCACCACTTGTACTATTGAGGGTGACATTGTTGTAACATTGGATATTAGTGTGTGCCATGGTGCGATTTAGCACGTTGTGAGTGCTAACACTATTGACCGTGGGGAGCGTGGGCTTATTTAAGCTGCCACTGATTTTGTTGGCATGATTTAGGGGCGTATTTTCCTTATCTTTACCAATGGAGTTATGGCTAGGAGAGGACAATGTCGAATTTCGGGGGCTTTTGACTTTTTTATGGGGTTATTTAGTGGCATGTTAGATTCTGCGGTGATAGGTGGTATGGTTTTATTATTTATTTGGTTACAGTCTAGTGGCCTTTCGGCTGGTGATGTACTCTGATGGGATAATTCTGTGTGTTTTGAGAGGGGTGATGCGGTGGGGTCTACTCTATCTCTCACAAGGTTGGGAATAATGGCCTACCTACTTCACAATTGGTCTTAGCGAGATAATTGTATGCGCGCCTTTCTATGACTGTTTCGTCCACCCCGACCTTTACAAGTTTGTAGTTTCTGGCTTGCGATAGGGTGTGTTGGGAGTGGATGAATTTTCTGGTCTCTGCCGGTGTTTCGAACTGAAAACGAATAGGACAACACTTTTCATGTTGACTCTACTTCAGCCTATAGCACTTAGTCTTGGAGTTAGGCATTTTCGCCTCACTAAGTAAGATGCGCTGTACCTTTTTTAGTGCCTAATTCTCCGGAACGTTGTAGACAATAGCACTCAGTTTTGCGTCAAGTCGTTTTGTTACTTCTGTGGTAACAAAGTTAATGAGGTTATCTACCTTAGTTACCGATTCTGTGTCAAGCTTGTTAAGGTTTACAGTTTTCATGAGGATATTTAGGGGTGTCAGTTCACAGACATGCGATCTGATATCGCTGATCTGATCTGATAACTTGGATATCTCGGTATTGGTTTCGATGTTTCCAGCATTTACTGACTTATTGTTTTTTATTTCCTTTAGCTCAGCCTGAAGTTCTCCTATAGACAACTTTAGAAGTTCTATTTCTGAAGGCAGTACTGAAAAAGAGCTTGATGGCTGGAGTTTCTCCATAAGCACAAAAGGTGAAGGGAGGAGTTCTGTATGAGCAGAGGGGACTGAATGTTTAGGAGTAGTGCTAATACTAGCTGTCAGTACAGTTTTGTCCTCAGTTCCAGCTCGACGCTCACGGCATACAAGTGAGTTGTGTGACTCACTATAACCATTTGTAGGGTGTGTGTTGCTTGATGTAGCAATCAAGGACTTTAAATTAGACAACAGTTTTACAGGGGGTTGGCTTCGTTGCTTTTTACTTTGATTAACCATAACTATTAGAAGTGAGAGTTAATGGTTACAAGTATGGAAGTGGTATAGTACTTGTGCAAGTATTACAACAAGATAAATTTTATGTAACGAATCACGTAAAAATGTGACGCAAACGTTGAACGTACCGCAATACAGAGTGCCTAAAGTCGCACGAAGGTAATCCGTGAGAATCGCTTCCTATCTAGCTGTCTTCCTGGCCTTCAGTAATTTTGTCATTGAATACTTCTGCTCTTGTCAGTAGATTGCTGTTCACCGGCAGTTCTGCAACTACTGGTGTTATTATTCTGGACGTGTTACTGGTGACGGTTGATCCGAAAGTCGTTTCATGCGATCAACTCAGAGTAATCTTGATTCTTGCTCCTTTATAACAAGATTCCACTCACTATAAACGGTTGGCTTCGTCTGCGTCGATCTTATTCGGTTAAGGACTTGATTGTTTGATGCAGCGTTTTGAAGTTTCGTTTGCTTACAGCTTATTGCGTTTAAGTTGCCAGTTTGTCGTTTAGGCATCTTTGTTATTCCCAGCATCCCTCTTTACTTCCTTTATCAATACCTTGTACGTTGAGCTCAGCTTCTCCTTCCGTCATTCATCTCCGTAATGGTTCATCTTCTGTTTTACCAATGAGTCTGTAGTTAATGTGTGGGATATCACAACATGCAACGCCTTATCTTCAATCAAGCATACAAGTGACCATATCTCTTATATAAGTTACTACCCACTTTAAGCACAAAAGATCAGATGCGCTCCAGAACACTTTAGTGGATATTTCTTTTCAGATACTCAGCATCCCAAAAGTGCCGCCATCACCCTTTCGCTTGCGTTCCTCAAACTTATCATTCATTTTACGAACGGCAGCGCCTTCTTTTCGCCATTCAATACTTCCGTTGAATGGTTGACTACACTTGAAACGAACCCGAATAACTTTTGAGGACTTAGTAGTGTCCTAGTGTTAAAGCGGTTGCAATGCAATTAGGCTGAGTGATCGAATGGTGCTGCTAAGATTTGTAGGCATTCACCAGCTCCAGCATTCCTGTCTTAAATTAGTGGAAATAGCCTGTCGAACCGTATTCTGAAATCTGCTTAATCTGGATTATCCTCCCTGATGATTTCGCCCATGATTCCCACTGAGTCACGTTTAAGATCACCAATCCTGAGTTAATTACATCCTTAACTCTCAGCGGTCCAGAGCTCATGTTATCATATTCCAAAAGACTCATGATTTTAAAATATATAACACACGTAGCCATCCACATTATAGTCTTCAGCAATTATTATTAGGAAGCATGATGTTCGAATGTTCGATGCAGACCTAAATATCTCTCTTAATCAACCGTCAAATCGATATTTGTCTTTAACTCGAAGACATCCTAATATATTGATGGAGCACACAATCAACACGTCTGAAGAATTCAGGAACCTTACACAACTTATTCCTAACTAAATAGAATTTCACTGAATCCTCTTGGTGTTATGTATGTAGCGTTTCCGCTAGACTTACATACGCCACAGGTCGTCATTTATTGTTTTACAAATACGAGACTTTCCATTAGCCACAAACGCGGGAATCTTGCCGACTCGTTATATGTGTGATATTCATGGTCCTAGTATATGTCCAACCTGATGCAGGATACGTAGGATAATTCAACTTCCTGTTCACTGTTGTAATTAGCCGGGCAACCAGCAAGGTAGTGGTGGGCTGTAGTTTTGGAATCGAAATGGACCTTAGAATTACAATTCTAGCTCTTTCCATTACGAGGAGAACATCTATGGCCGATGTAAACAACACCTACATATCCAACTTTAGAGGCACTGGATACAACATGGAAGCAAACTATGTCATCATCTTTCAATGGTATAGGTGGATATGTGACGTCTACTGACCCGGTGATCTTAGATAATCAGCTCACTTCTTCTACCCTTCAATTTGTCCATCACTTAAGGGTCATACCACTGCAACCCTTTCTTACATGTCTCTCCAAATGACTATATTGGAGGGAGTAGATTAGGTGCTAATAGTCCAAGTGGGTCAAAACACAGGGATACACAGATGGCACACATCTTCGAGTGACTGACTTATTAACACCCCACAACTATATCCAGGAGTATTGCAGTTAGCACATTATTGCAAGCCATACATCCGCTCAATCGGCAGTGTATCAGTAGGCCCATATCGTACGATGGTTGCTGTTTTCTGGAACTACATGCTTCAAAACATCTACGTTGTTTGACACCTATTTAGGTTAAATGAAAACGCTTGATGGAAAGCTAACCACAGACTCGTGACTGTCGAAAGAGGTCAGGGAACATCCACAACAACAGTAATCAACGATACCCAATAAATCACTAGATACGAACGTGGACACATCTTTGCGTGGGACAAATTAAGCACAAAACGGGAGAAACGTGGCATTGAATAGATAAATCTGTACCACATGGAACACAAAAACCCATAGACTATCTCCATCGCTCACTAGTACTTTCACTTGCAAGGACGTTTCTTCCATATCCACATCAATGTCCACCAGAAACTTTCTAAACCTTAGCAGTAATCCGATTAATGTCCCCTCTCAGCCTGAACCACTCAATAAATTAACATTCAAGAAAACACCTTCATGTTTCGCGGAGCAGCTGAACATTGCACAAAGTTTACTTGGCTTCTTTGGGTTAAAATGGGTTGATAAGACAGGCACCACTTTCCTGGTTCGTTCTTATAAATCAAGCTATCAGTGTAACTTTTCCATACACTTTTCGGATAATCTCTTTATACTTAGTCCGGAGATCTGAAAAAGCCCCAAACTCTCCCTTACACTCACAAATCCCTTAATAACAGCTTCCCTGTTACAAACAAACTGGCCATCTTTAAAGTCTCAGAGTAGTCCTATAGTGAAGTGTCCACTTTCCCACGTAAAAGATACTTCAGCCATTTCAACTGCCTTCGCGTCATCGAGGGACCGTTAATTTTCCTAGGTATCGTTGTTACGGAACTCTGCTACAAATCTCGCGAATCATACTCTACATATTCATACTTTCCCTCATAACGGATAACACTTTAACCTCCTTGCTTTCCACCTCAATGGCATATTCTTGGCTTGCAGGTCTTCTCTACCACGACATCTCTCTTCTTATACCTTATTAGCCTCTGGTACGTTAAATCCGACAAGCTGTTTTAATCTAATATCTCAGGTAGACCTTCTGTACGTCATGAGGCTTAAAAGTACCGTTAAGTTTAACCGAGCTCATACTATCCTTTGACATCATAAGTAGTTAGAGCAATCCAACCAAACCACTACCTGCGTCTTCTACTGCGTTACAGCTCGGTTTTGTACGTCCTTCTTTCATGTAGCTAAAACACAACCTTTTCAGCCCCACAACTTGCAGTCTTTCTGAAAGAGTTATTCCGGGGAAACTAGTACACTTACCAAATCCGAGTGTATTACCCCTGACGACACGCATCCCTGAACATCCAGTGTCTTGAGAACGATTCATCACAAATTATTCGCCCCACGAATTTTCTTCTCAGTTTCAATGGTGGAATGCAATATGCTGACAAACTTTCTCCTTATTCGGCCAAAAATAACTTTTGTGAGTCTGAAAACATCAAACCCTGGCTCCACCATACCCTTCCTCCTGCATATGGGCACCGATCCTTACCCATTTTCTCTGCATTCGAGTGGATAGGCATCTGGCAACTACTTCAAGAATTCACATCATTGATGCAGTTCAGAAGACACAATGCATCTTTATGTCGTCAAGTTGCCTAAAAACAAGGTGAGAGCTTTGGTGTCATAAGTTGGCTGCCATCCCTTATCTGTAACAACGTCAAACACAAAAAATCATGAACGGCTTTCGAAATTTTTGACGCAATATACTCCTTGCTTTAGCAGACCTTCTATATAGAGACAAGCATTTACAAGTTTTTATTGCGCTAGCCGCAACACCACTGCAGCGCCTTAATAAATGCGTCAACCCTCTTTCTTCATTAAGTCCGACACTGGTGCACATAACTTAGAACTCCTTCACGAAGCATGGATGGGATGCTGGATTTCTGTCAAAGCAATTTGGCCCAAACTTCGGTGGTATAAACGATCTACTTTCCTTCATCTGAAAGAAACTATCATATATTTTGACAACTATAATCGGACATATTTTACTGCATTTTTAGTATTTGTCCTTTTTCATCTTCTCCCTCCTTTGACCCCCAAAATTTGTATTACATATGATGCTGGTGCAAATAAGAAGGGTTGGAGAACAATATAAGCCCTGGCCGAATCTCCAACGATTTCTGGTGACTAAGTAGATTCATGGGAATCTAAGTAGAACCTGCCAAAAGTTTTCCCGGAAAGCGGAAATACTTCATCATATGATATAAGCCAACAGATCAAAAACTGGAAATCCACAGATGCGATCAGCAACTTTGAAAGGAGTAGAATCGGAAACTGTAAATATGCCAAATCCAAAGACTCGACACACGTGGACGTTAGTGTTGCCAGAATACCAATAGACACCTATCAGAATACTATGAACTGTGACGATTGGTAATCTGCGACTACTTATTTTCCGTGGACGATTGCTTTTCATGAAATGTACAAAAATAATAAACCCTGCACAGCAGGACATATACAACACAAATGGTTACAGTACCGAAATTTATGGCCTCAAAACGTCTCGGGTTCCAGTGATTTGGCTGCAGAGTCTAAAAATAAGCATCGGTATGGCTCAGAAGGATACTTCTGGCAGTAATGCTTCAGTCTCCTGCTGAACAGCCAGCAGTTAGATCACAGTAGGTACTGTAACCTCCAGTGAGA